AACATGTATGTACAATAAGAGGGGATGAAGTGAGTGAATAAATGGATCACTCTGACTGAATCGCAGTTAGCTTATTTATTCTTTGATCAAATCAGTAATGTTCTTTTTACCGCTCACCAGTGACGATAAAAAAAATTTGATAATTCAATTAGCTCTGCTTTTTTTACTTTTGTGCTAGAATGACTGGTTGCCAAGTGCAAGGTTGATGTAAGTACTAGGCACTTCGTGCTTCTTGAGCTAAAAAAGGAGGAAAAATTGACAACTTCGACCGTGAAGAGGCTCTACGTGAAGTTGGCCTTGGTCAAAAGTAACGAGATTACGAGAACTGTCACTAAGCTCAGTAATCAACAGGGCTCCTCGTCGATTGGTTCTGGAGAGTATATGTTAAAGCATTTGTTTTTTGGTAACAATGACAGAGGTAAAATAAATCGGGGTATAGTGAGGATCGAGGGAGTAAGCATGAGATCCAAGTGCTTCGGTGTCTTTGAACCAGTCCTCCTTCCAAATTAAACAGCCGAATGTTCTTGATTGGCTAGAAAAAGCTGATATTACAATTACTTGGCGGACAAGAGTCTCTTATTTTATTAGGGGGACCTTCATTTCGTAGAAAAGTGAATGAAGAAGAGATTCGTTGGCCGATCTCACTAGATGAAGACGGATGAATCTTGTTGGATTTTTGAACGATATTCATGTTGAGGCAGTCCACTAGAGTTCCTTCCTCGTTTCGGGAGGACTGCCTCAACATGAATATCGTCTAAAATCCAACGAGATTCATCTGTCTTCATCTAGTGAGATCGACCAACGAATCTCTTTTTCATTCACTTTTCTATGAAATGAAGGTCCCCCTAACAATGTTAGAGTAAATGATACGAGCTAAGAGGCTATATACGAGTATTTTACATACGAAACCTATTTTCCTCTTCTCTATTACGCTGGAATGTGGTATTGTCTAATAAAAAATATACTCGTTTGGGAATGCTGGGTCTTGCACGGTATGAGCAAGAGAATTCATAAATACGATTGTTTATTGTAGTTGCATTTGTGATTTATGCTACGTATTTTTGAAAATACTAGGCCTTCACAAAATAAGGCTTATTTTAGGCTTTTCCACTAAAATAATTGAATTTCTTATAGAAACTCGAGTGCCATTTTGTCGTAACCTTAA